TGGTGAGTCCACCAAACTCCTCTCTGTATTTAAGGACAATTTAGTTGAACTTTGGGTTACATGTAGATTTTTGACTTTTCTGGTAGATCCACCAGCTTTTTGTCCTTGTGTACATAAATGTATTAAGGAAGTGTCACTAGGTAATTGTAAAGGAAAATTATGAATGCCTTTTGATTTTTAGCTTTTGGTGGATCCACCAAACTGCCCACTATAGATAATTACACGGATAATGTTGACGGTATATCATTCAAGTATTCTTGTGTATTCCTGTTTGTATTTTTGGTGGATCCACCAAGTATTTGTGAGTAAAATTGAGAATGTCTTGTTAGTTGATTTTTTGCATTTTGGTGAGTCCACCGACTCTGTATTAGGGACAATTTTAGTTATACTTTCTTTTTTAGTTTTTGGTGGTTCCACCACTCAGTTTCTCTCAGTGGGTTGTTTCAGTGTCTTAACACTGGTGGATTCACCAACGTCGTTTTTTAAGTATCGTCAAAAGTAATTGAGAATTTCACCAGATTGCTTTTATAAATTTGAGCTGAATTGTCTATTTGTATTTTTGGTAGAATCACCAAGTTTTCTTGAAGATATTTCAGTTGTTTTTTTTTTTTTTTTGGTAAGTTCACCAATTCTTTTAATGAATTGTAGAATTATGTATTGTCAAATTCACTCTTGTTTTCTTGGTGGAACCACCAAGATCAATCTTTATTTGAAGATATTTGATAATTCAAATTGGTGGATTCACCAATCCTTTGACTGTGAATATGGAATACCGATACATAATTGATCTGTTTTAACATAAATATTGGTGACCACACCAATTCTTAACTTATTCAATAACGAAAATGAATAAAAAAAATTGTCGATTTCTGAAATTGCATTGTCTTCATTTTTCATTTTGAATTAAAAAAAAGAGGACACGAATAGAAAATCCTCTTTCTTAATGGAAACAGTTAAATGCTTTCTCTACTCAAAGGCGGCATCATGGTTTTGGTTAAACGGCATAGGCAACGCCATCAATCCAAACCTGCAGTTCATCATTTCCTTTTTAATGTGGCATAAATTATTCTATAATTTGTAATTGAATTGTTTTATATATTACAATAAATGGCATCATTGAGCTGTAAAGGATCTCTGTTTCTATGCTTTACACGCTTCCTACGTATTGGATTGGATACGTATTTTCAACAAGAAAATTCTGCATCGCAATTACTTTCATGACATAAGCAACGAGCAAGTAGAATTTTTTTTAAATCAATTATTCGTGAATTGGCCATTGAACAGTATTTTTTTCCCTTATTTAAATTGCAACGACATTATTCATGATCAATAAAAACAAGGCAATATCTAACATAAGATAATGCGCATTTAAAAGAAAGAAAAGAAATCGATAGTGTGAATTAAAATCAATTATACGAAGTTACTATTTTAATATTTGCTGAAGCACAGACATCATTCGAAGAGGGTAAATACATGTTAATCAACTTAAAATTATTCTCCTTGAAAGTGTAAATATATCTTGCGGCGGCATAATTGGAAAATGGTCCTCTCTGCAATTTTTTATTCATAAAATATGAAATATAAAATTAATAAAACTGAACAATAACATACCATACGGAGGAAACTTTGAAAATTAACGTTGACGACAAAGTTGATTAATCAAATGAATAATTTAATTCTAACATGGGTAAGCTACTCTTTCTTATAAATTAGCAGGCCTGGGGTGAGCTATTTCTCTTAGCTGGGGTAAGATATTTCTCTTGTTTTGCCTCGGACTAGAAAGACGCTCTGTCATTGGATAATGGAAATCACGTGCCTGCCTTCAATGTGTCTTTGAACGATTAGCAAATTTTGGAAGGCAACATAATTATGTTGGTGGATTATACGACGTTTTATCATCCATATTTACTGGGGAAAAATCATGCTAGCGTTATATTTGCTTTTAAAAGAAACTGATATATTTACACCTTACCGATTTTGCAATGCTGCGATTTTTAGAGTGGCAACCCTTTTTTCAGCTGTTTTTAGAGACGTAATTAGTAAACGACTATAGTCCGAAATATCTGACGTTTTCCAGGCGTTTTTCACAATTTGATATTTAAGGGAGCCGACTGGGGTTTTATTGTGTGAAAACTACTATAGAGAAACTCTTTAATTTTATACTATATGTACCTTAAATTGACTTCAGTATGCATGCAAAGTTTAGTGAAAATCTACCGTCTGGTTAAGTTTGAGGGACCATCTCAAAATACAGGTACATTTACTATAGGATTATATAGGAAATTACCATTTTTTCGCACTTCGGAGCAAATTATACAAATGCTACTATAGACATTTTGCTCAGATTATATTATTTGATGGGTAATACTGTATTGTACATTTTGTGCAAGAAACACAAAATTCTACCGTTTGGTTTCCAGAGGGGGCATCTCAAAATGTCAAAATTCATGATATTTTCCTATTTTTATGGAGTACAACAAAACATGACAGATACCACAGATTTACATAAAAAATAATAAATATGATTGTTAGATTCTCAATTTCCTATGTTTAAAATTTCAAGAGCATATATTTTATACTTTTTATTTTATGGCATAATTAATGACCCCGCTTAAAGAACTTCGGTTATTCATAACGTCAAAAACACACTATTACGACGTCTATCTACCCATTATTTGCAAAATCTTTTAAAACATCAGTTATTTAAAAACGTAATTAGAATTTTTAACCTGAGATTTCCTAAATTTGTTAATTTTTATAAATTATGTAAAAATAGTTGCTTTCAAAGAGTAAATACGCTTTATTTTACAATGCTGCGCGAAGTATTGCGCAATGAAAACCCCAGTCGGCCCCCTTAATGTGCCAGGATCACGTCAGAACCGGCGCCATTACGAAAAGTGGAAATTTCGCCGCCCCAAACTGAACTCGATTTTTGGTACTTGCAAATCGAATTAAATGTCAAACTCACAACTTATCAATAAGTTGAATCACCTCTTTTAGTAGGAAGTGTAATTGCCTTTACTATCATGGGGACCATTCCTTCTTAAGTTTATGAGGCGCGATCTTCCAAACATTATAAAACTAACAGCAATATATTTACAATGCATACCTGTTAGCTTATCATCCAATGTAAAAAACATCGAAATAAAAAAAATAATGCAGTTTTGTTCAATATGCGAAACTTAACACTGCAAATACTGGAAACCCATTCAACATTCATACTGAGAAAAAACAAAACACTTGTAAATGAAGCTGAATGTAGAACTGATGTAATGTGAACAACACAAAAATGGGATTGCAAATTTATTCTTGTTGTTACAGTGTATCATCAAGTAAAATAGTGTAATACCGGTAAATGTAAACCAATTTTATTACACATCAACAACACTAACAGTGATTTTAGTATATGTAAATTAACATTCGGTAGTGACAAATTTGCTATTTTTAGGTTCAACAAAATCCACCAGGCACAAAATATATAACAGATGTTTTATGAACTTGTCACTTTTGAAGGAAATCCATAGCACCAATCTATAAAAATAAAAAGATGTTTGTGAAACACTTATGCCCCCCCCCCCCCCCCCAATAATTGGAATTTTTTATTAGTCCAAGGGGCATAATTCTGTCAAAAATTGCTCCATCGTACCCAAAACAGAACTTGACCTACATTGTAACTCTGTCAAAAATTGCTCCATCGTACCCAAAACAGAACTTGACCTACATATTCTTGTGATAAATCTGTATACCAAATTTCATTTCAGTATGAGCAACTTCTGCAAAGAAAATGAACGGAAACTGTTGGTGGACCGACAGACAGACAGACCGACCGACCGACAGACAGAAAGCAGCAAAGCAATATGCCCTCCCTTCTTTGGAGGGGGGCATAAAAATAGGTTTCGGGGAAAGATTTCAGCAAATAAAAATAATCAATCTATTCAAATAAGGTCAAAATTCAAGATCCCAGTAATGGACACGATAAAGGGAGCTGTTGTTCCTATTTTGAATCCGAGTCTGATTCCTGAACTCTAGGATATCTGGAAGGTTTTCATATCTTATATTTAAGATTTTGAATGTATGCTGTTATTTATTACATAATTAAAGTTCTGCATTTTGATTTTTTTGGAAAGACCAACTTTTTGTGAATGATGTCCCAAAAATTATTCAATTCATTGATATTTTCCTTTTAACAAGGACACAAGAAGATTACAAATGCATGTATAGTAAATAAAGCAAAAACAAACAAAAAATGTAAATTTGAGTACACAGTGCCTCTATATGTAGATATATAGAAGTCTCAAATATACACATATTTAACAAACTTAAGAGTGAATATAATAATATAAGCCCAACAAATACCGGTACATGCTTACATGTATTAAATAATTTAATTTCTTCATGGCAAAAATATATGAAAGAAAATATTTCAAATACATTTTCATACTAAGAGACTTGTATAGAACGTAATTTAAAAAAAAAGAAAAAGAAAACATCATCTCCAGTGAAAAAGCATGAAGAGGTTAACATGAAAGGTTTTTCACATGAAATTCAAAGTTAATATCACATCAAAAAAGCATGAGGGAAATTAACACAAGGTCTCCCACTATAAATTTTAACTGCAGGATTAAAATTTACTTTTATACATTCACCAAAAGAATTTTATTATTTTGATTTTATTAATATTGTAAATTGTTTTTTTTAAAGAAAACTTCAAGTACCTACTAGAAATAAATAAAGTTTGAAGTATCAGTACGTGACACTCTCTTATTAAATAAACTATGACTAAACTGCATATGATTATCAGATACATGTAAGTTGTGATGAAAAAAACAACCTTGCCATTTAATGCACACACATTAATCATATGTAAAATAATGTAGGTTGCATGCATATTAATTTTTGCTCATTATGACTAGAAACATGATATTTAAACATCAAATTTACAAAAATGATCTCAATGACAAAAAAAAAAAAAAAAAAAAAAAAAAAAAAAAAAAATCCAGCATATCCAGTATTTCACATAAAAGTCTTCAAAATATTTTAAATTCTTGATATACATATATCGCAACAAGGAAAAAAAAAAGAAAAAGATAAATCCGGATTAAATTTAAATACTGATTATATTTTCAATAATTAATACCAACAGCCTTTAACATGATACTGTACAAGAATGTCCAGCCATTCAAGAAATGTTTCTCTTTGCTCTGTTTCTTTCTTTTTTGTTTTAGGTTGGATCTGAGTAACTTCTCTTGGAATATTTGATTGGAGATTCTATAAACTTCACGTCAGAAGTGGCACAGTAATTCTATAGAGTTTATAACAACCATAACACAGCACTCCATAGAATGAAAAACGAAAAGCATACTTCAATAATTTCCTAACTTTCGACACCTCTGGAACCCTGCAGAAAAAAATAGAAGAAATGTTTTATAAATTGACAACTCTTGATAATTATGACAATAATAATTCATTCTGGGTGCATGAAAATCAAGAAAATAAAAAAAAAAAAATGGAATGAACATAAAATCATTCTGCATTCAAGTTCAATATAAATCTGCTTCATATTATGACATTTCTCCATCCCCCCCCCCTTTCCCCAAAATAATCTTTGAATAAATTTCATTTTTAAAATTTCTTCATCTGAAAACATAAGATTTTATCAAACATCAACCAAATTTCCACTTAAATCATATACTAAAACATGTAAAATAATTGGGTCGATTTAACTTTATAAAAGAAAACTAGAAATATGTCCATAGGACATGAATGCCCCGCCGAAGGTATATAAGCAATGCAACATGAAAATTTGTATTAGTGTATGAAATTTGATGAGAATATCTTGAATAGTTTCTTTAAAATTGAAATCTAAAAAGTTGGATTTAGATGATAAATTCTCACCAAATTATGTATAAGTGCATAAGCTTACATAAATACATGTATATCTTAAATGGTTTCTTTAAAATTAAGCAAAATGCAAATTTAAGAAAAGTGAGGTCAAGGTCCCAGAAAAGTTCAAGGTCAAACGTTTTTGATGCAGTTGAATAGTTCTCATAAATACGTATCAGCATATTAAGTTTGATAAAAATATTTTGAATGGTTTATTTAAAACTGAGCTAAACACTAATTTAAAATGAATGAAGTTAAGGTAAAAGGAAAGGTCAAGGTCAAAAAATGTTGATGCAGTTGAAAAGGTTACATCAGTATGTATTAGCATATGAAGTTTGATAAAAATATTATGAATGGCTTCTTTAAAACTGAGTTAAACACTTATTTAAGAAAAGTGAAGTAAAGGGCAAAGGAAAGGTCAAGGTCAAAAAATATTGATGCAATTGAATAGGACTCATCAGTATGTATCAGCATATGAAGTTTGACACTAATTTAAGAAAAGTGAGGTCAAGGTCAAAGGAAAGGTCAAGGTCAAAAAATGTTGATGCAGTTGAATAGCTGTCATCTGTATGTATCAGCATATGAAGTTTGTTAACACTATCTTGAATGGTATCTTTAAAACTGAGCTAAAAACTTATTTAAGAAAAGTGAGGTCAAGGTCAAAGGAAAGGTCACGGTAAAAAATATTCATGCAGTTGAATAGCTCTCATCAGTATGTATCAGCATATGAAGTTTGTTAAAAATACATTGAATGGTTTCAATAAAACTGAGCTAAACACTAATTTAAGAAAAGTGAGGTCAAGGTCAAAAGAAATGTCAAGGTCAAAAAATGTTGATGCAGTTGAATAGCTTACATCAGTATGTATCAACATATGAAGTTTGATTACACTATCTTGAATGGTATCCTTAAAACTGAGCTACACACTAATTTAAGAAAAGTGAGGTCAAGGTCAAAGGAAAATACAAGGTAAAAAAATGTTGATGCAGTTGCATAGCTCTCATCAATATCTATCAGCATATGAAATTTGATAAAAATATCTTGAATAGTTTCTATGAAACTGAGCTTTGAACAGAGCTAAACGCAAAGTGTGAGGGAAGGACAGACAGAAGGACGGAAGGACAGAAGGACGGAAGACGGACATGACAAACACTATATGCCCCGGCCATATTCATGGCGGGGCATAATAAAATCCTTACACCATGATTTCGTTAATGTCGTATTTCTCTTGTTCCCAGTTCGCCTTGATCCCCGCCACATGACCAATACCCACTACCCCCACCACCACTGAGGGGATGTATCCTATAAAAACATAACACCACAGTGACAGGGTCATAGTGCAGATATTGGTTTAACAATGTTTAAAGCAGATTTTTAACATTTTTCACATATCTATGGCATTTGTAAATTTTGCATAAAATGAAATTAAGACTGAATATTACTTAAGGACATTGGCAAGTCAAGGTTTTCCGGAGAAAAAAGGTTTAATACATGGGTTTTTTCACTTATGAAATAGTGATTGAGAGTGATCTCCCGTGTAGAATTCTCTAAGCGGTGAAAACCAATAAAGCATATGTTTACAGAGGTAAACAAAAGCACATGTACTTCCTTCAACGGGTAGAATCATCTATACAGCAAGAAAGAAAATTAGTAATGGCTTTGTTGTGAATTGTATTCAGGGGACCAAGATCCAACAGGTTGTCATTTACCATAGTTATGCTCAGTATGCTGGGAAGGGCAAAGATGTGACATACGCTGAAAGGTAGACCGACTGAGATCAGTTCTCAGGTTGTATGAAGGAAGCAGCATTTAGTAACTACGAATAAAATTTGAAATAAATCCATGCCAATATTTTTATGACTATGTGTTTCAATCAATTCAGTCAATTACATGATAGAATCAATCAACCAGTCTGACTCTCTTGACCATTATGAATAATATGTAATTATAGCTGTTAAGGGAAGTAACTCAAAAATAAAGTTCGGTGCCGGTATGTTCTTGTCCTGTTTCTATATATACATTTTCAGCCAAAATATCTAGAAGTCATAGGAAATGAAGATACAATAATGTATATAATACAAAAACTTTATGAAATAAGTGGGTTTTTGAAAAATATTATGGTGAAAAATTATGTAGCTCCCTTTTATCAACATTTTACATAGGAAATGCATTGAGAATTGCAAAAACACTGATTTGACAAAATCTAAAAAAGAAGGTTGGCTTGGTAGGTTAAACAATCCAGAATATAGCCTGTTTAGTACAATTAAACCTACTCAAGAGTTATTGAAAAATTCTATACTATAACCAGGAACCTTGCCAATGTCCTTAAACAAGAAAACTTTCTTAAATTATGCATGCATGAAGAACGTAATTAAAATTCTAATAAAAAAGGATTGTAAACATTGATTCAGAAGAATATGGCAATTTGAATATACCTTTAGGTTCACTGGGAGCTCTGATTGGCTCAGCAGCCATTTTGAGTGAGTGTGCAAGAAATGTATCTCGTTCCTCAATAACCACTTGACTCAGCCCTGGAAATTCTGTGGTCATCTCGGCCAATAGCTGCTCCAACAGATCTTTACCTTTGAATTTTTCTACATCTTCTTTACTATAAAAAGAAAGCAAATATTGAATATACATGTAATGCAATAAAGGAAAAAATATGGTTAAGGTTCAATTTGACCTTTGTCTCAGAAAACCAATGAACACACAAAGTTGTCATAGCTTGTAATTCTTGACCTAAATGATACCTACATGTAGTATCATTATTTTATATAAGATCAAATGATATCTTGTGTCTTGTTGAATGAAATTTACTTTGAATTAGGACTTTCTGATAAGAAATTTTAGTATTGTTTCTAATAATATCATAACATTTTATTTTAACATCTGAGCTACATGTATTAAGTATTCAACAAGTTCTTTACTGGAATCGAAGTGCTTTTGTTTTTGTTGTTGTTGTTGTTGTTTTGTTTTTTTTTTGCTTTTGTCTTTTTTGTTTTATATTTTTTTTTAAAATCAGATATCCATTTCAATTCAGAAATCATTTTAAAATGTAATTAATTCATTTTTTAAATTAACTTGTGCTCATAATAAATCACAAAATTTATTACAGGATTCAAACTTGTATATCTATCAGTATGCAAATTATTAGACCTGCACTCAAGTGCCAATGACTCACACACATGAAGTATCAATAAATCTATAAACCAACAGATGTTTCAGTCTACCTGTTTAATAGGGAAAAAAATTAGATGAGATTTTCATTGAAGCAGTAAACACTAGTAATTACCTTACTAAACTTCCATTTTTATGACATTCAGTGCATTGTACTTAATTTCCCTGATGTTACCAACATTTTCAGCAGCACACGAGCAATAAAAATTGTAAATACAAATCTGATAAGTAAATTCCCTGAATTTATGGACCCTACTTAAGAGCACATTGTGGTTGAAGTATATTTGAATGGCTTCTATAGTGCCAGTTATAAAATTTATACAATTAACAAAAGGGACATGAAATGTATAATCCTTGAAAATAAAATAAATCAACAAGAGGCCCAGGAACCTAGAAAAAAAATTCCTGATAGACTAAAGAACATGCAAAAAATCAAAGTATGTTTAGGTTCATGGGAGCATCAAGAAGCAATTAATGTCTTGAGTGATCTTTAAACCTCTGGCATAGTGCATGATAAGTAATATTCACTCTCATACATGTGTATTTAAATTTCAAAATGAAGCTATTATGGCCTACCTGCTTTTGGGTTGCAACAAAATTTACTACAAGCTACATCAAGTGAAAAAGCTTGGTTAGGGAATACTTTTGTGCTTCCACCCTAAAATGAATTATCTGAAAGGGTTTGATGATTCTGAGCCAAATAATATATAATCAATAATTAAAAAATTTAAATAGCCTGTTTTGGGGTAGACATACTGCAAAATGAATCGATGAACAAGGTTTGATGTCCCCTTGACTCACAGTGTTAAAAATAAATGTTATAATAGATTGTATGTCTTGGGTGAGCATTGTCACTTAGGAACTCCTTGTTTTGTAAATACCTGATAGGTTCATCAAAATTCCATGCATGCCAGATGAATTTGACGAGCTGCCATAGAGACAGTAGTGCGAATGCCCTCTGAAGTGTAATCTGTATGGGACGATCACCCAGGTGTAACTTACATCGGGGAATCTTTTGTGCCTAGTAAGATAAGAAATATCAAATATTTTTATCTGATTTTTCAACATTTTTCATCATATTGAATGTGACTCACTGCAATACAAGTTAGTAATACACTGAAGTAGTGTCTGCAAAGCCACAACTTGAAACTTTTAAAATTAAGTATCTAATCTTTGAGATCATTTGAATGAGAGCTTTGATTGTCTTCTAGTCACCTAGAAATGATTATCATAAAGGTTTGTTCCCAAGTTGTAGCCTTACTCTTGTAAAGATTTGAATATATCTGGATCCACTCTGTATATACAGGAATAAGGATTGTTGCATGTAAATTTGAAACAGCTTTCCTTATTCCCCAATGTAAAACCTTTAAATCTTAAGCCACTATGTTCCCATTTGACTGTGTTCTTTAGACTAAAATCTTCACTAATAAGAAAGGTTTCATGTACATTTGTAAAAAAAATTTACACAGATTATTCTACAAAATGTTTTACCCTCCTACAATGCATTTCTCAATTATCTCTCTCAAGAAGAGCGTGCATGCATGGTCTTTCATTAATTAATTTTGATTCCTTGAGCTTTCAATCAATTCTGAGGCTATTAGCTCAGGTGAGCTAATTATATCTACATCTTTATCTGAACTATCCAGCTCTGCTGCAGTTAACAAATACATGTATTAGACTTCTCACCTCCTTGTATGCCTGCCTAAATTCTCCCCCTGGAGCCATCCCCAGTTCTTTGGTTAAACGAGCAGAGATATTCAACAGCATAATATTGAACAGTCCTTGTATTAAACCATTCTGTGGATTTAAAAAGTATTTTTTTTAACTTCATACATAACCCATGGCAGAATATATTCATCTATGTTTTTTAACTTCATACATAACCCATGTCAGAATATTCATCAAAGTTTATTTTTTAATTATTATTTTTTTTTGGAGGGGGGGGGGATGGGGTGTATTGCTCCCCAATCTCTACAGTTCTTGAGCAAAATTTCTACCATACATTTGTCATGGTTGGGTACAAATAGAAAAAAAAGAGGTAGCTTTGAAATTTTTCGGGTAAGAGAGGAGAAAGAAACCTAAAAAAAACCCCAAAACAATCAGAGTTTCTCCCTTATTTACTAGCTTGTTGTTGAATTCCGAATATCTTCATAAAATTTGCAAATTTCAACTGGTAATTACCTGAGCAATGGAGGTTTTGATTTTTTGAAAGTTCATGTCTTTGGCTTCCCGCAGTACGGTCTCTTCATCCAGCTGTAGTATTTTGATTCGGTCCATACAAAGTTCCACAGATACAACATCAGGTTCTGTGGCTTGTATGACCTAGGAGAGGACAAAGTATATTATATTCTTATAAACAAAATTATCTACAATAGTATAACACAGAAATATTTTCATCAAATGACAAGAACTGCTATGATGTAAATTGACATTTGAAATATAAATGCTTGTATAAATAACGCTTAAATCAAACCCTCTGTCTATAAGGATAGGAATTAAAATATATATATATCTAATTTGTTGGATTCAATGAAACTTGGAAAAAAGGGTAACTCAAATTGACATGGACAATATGGAAAATTTGAGTAAAAAAGTATGAATGCCATGATTAAGATATTTTGAATAATAATTGAAAAACAAAATAAAACAAAAACAAAACCACCCACATACATGTACATGTATGTTTTGTTTTGTTTTTCTTTCTAATTAGAATGAGAATCTAAAAATTCAGTTTAATATATTGCCTTATATATGAATTTACTTTGCTGACATCGTTGAGACTTTCAGCACTGAAGTGAGCTGTCCCTATTAGGTATACTTTGCTGCCCTCTTTGGTTTCCAGTACACTGCAGGTTTCGGGGAGGTCTGGATTCTCCTCCCTGTTTCTGACGGGGTAGGGATCTACATTATCCTCAATATCCGATTCCTCCCCACTGATTGTTTCATAAGTCTCATCATGGACACTCCACTCATCTATTAAAAAAGTCCAAGTATTAAGTGGTTTTAAACACATAGACAATTAAGATATTTGCAAACACTTGGTTTTTCAGAATATACTTCAGGGATGTAATATATGAAGTTAATCAGAAGCATTTGAAATTTTTCAAATCAATGGAATAGGAAAAATACACAAGAACACAGATGAAAACACAGAGATGACACGTCAGCTTAAGAATAAACTTTTCCAAAAAATCTGATTCTTAAAGTCCTTTGTACTTTCTAAAACCAAGACTGCATGAAATATTAATGGTAAAATAAAAATTCTTTTTAATTGCTATTAAAAGAAATATGATTCTATTTCATTATAATTTTTAATGAGATATGCAAAATAGTCCAAAAACATGCATATTATGCATTTCTGGAAAAAAAAAATTGATACCTCAAAGTCATTTTATATATAAAACATTGATACAGGCAGAGGCAGTTGATTGATAAATCAGTATACTGATGTTTTGTTACATCTCTAATTAATACATGTATGTATACAAAGATTGTAGACTACTGGAAGTGAGACTGGCTATAGGTGCTTTCAATAAATACAGTCCAGAAAAGATATGTCTTCTTTTTGAATACTTGCATAGAAAAGCTGATCAAATCAAAAATTTGACTTGTATCTTACAACTGTAGTTTTCTTTAACTAAAGAAAAAAATCATTTTAAAGTCTAAAAATCATCTATTGATAGATGGCCTAAAAAGGGGGTACATGTACACATGATGTAATCACCTACTTTTCAGTTGGTGAATAGGCACATTAACAAGCATAGTCAAAGTGCCCCATTCACAGTCAGAAGAGAAATGAAAAAAAACCCCAAACATTTTATTTGAAGGGAGTCTTTATTTTAAATGCAATTAGACAGAACACTCTATTGTTAAAATGATTTGTCCTAGGGACTGTTTCATGATAGAATCCATTCCATGTGTTGACAATGTAAGAAAAACAAACAAGGGCAGATAATTCTAATCTAGAAGTAAACTGTGCAATCCAGGGAGTTCCAAATGCCAACATGGCATTTAAATTTGAAGCAAGAAATAAAAAAATGTTGAGAAGTGTGTTCATTTATTTTCTGCACATTTTTTTAAGGAAGAAGGCATATAGTGATAAACACGCTTGAAAAGGTTTGCTATGATTAATTTGGTAATTATTTTCAGAGCAATTCCTTTTGTACTCTCAAAATAGTTTCATAGTGCATTGGCTCCAATTTGCTATTAAGCTGCAACTATATAGGATGTATTCTTACTGTGGTGAGGACTTGTCTTGATTGAGACACAGTTATATCATTCTAACTAATATGTAACGTTTAACAGAATTAATGTAATGACAAAAGTTGTTCTGACCCTCTATTTCTGAAGATGGATCTTCTTGTATAACATTTCTCAGTTCCTGTGTAGCTGGGATTTTCCCCTCTTGTTTATGATCACCACTCGCCTTTTCATCTTTGACTGAAATAGCACAGTGATTGACCCATACATTAATAGAGCGTCACGTAGATCCGGGATAAAATACATGTCATTAAAATTAAAATGCAAAATTGAAGTCCAAAGTGAAAGCAAGACTGAAAATTCCTGACAAGTCACAAAATAACTTACAAGGGGTTTAAAATATAAACTCTTTTCTTTACGTCTTTCATAATAGAATAAATAAATAAATAAAATAAAATGCCATCGTGGCAACATCTGTATCTTTAGTTGAGTGCATGATGCAAGTTTCTGTACACAGTAACAATATGGACAGGACGATCAATCTTTAAAATATACTTTCTACCTTTACACAACTTTTCAAAATAAAAGATTTCGATTTACTTGAACTTAAACATAAAATATATGTAATTTAAAAGAAATAAAAATTCTCACGTGGAGTTGAATTTTCTTGCTGATCGTCGTTCATGATGTGGACTACGTATGTGTACACGACGATTGATTACGTAGAACGCATATTTATATCTTGATCCCGATCAAATTAATGGTCTCTCTTGCGGTTTCACGGTAACTGCGGTATTGCTCTTTTGCAGGGCAAAATGATATAGTTTGGTGAAATATGACACAAAAGCAATTGTTTAATATATGTCATTTAATTCTCTGTCAGCAAAAACTTCGCCAAACATTATTAATTTGCGCTGCAAAAAAGTACATTTATAGTACCGCAGTTATCGTGAAAGGGCTAATTGAATAACAATCAACCAACCAATGCAAAAAAAAGAAAAAAAGACAAATATGTGTATAATGCTATTTGTACTTGATAGAGAATACCCTGTTTATCTATTTATTTATTTATTTATTTATCTATTTATTCATTCATTCATTCATATATATCGTTATATTACTTTATTGCCCAAAGATATCTGTAATCAGATAATAATAAGCTTCGTGTGATCATAATGTTTTTGTTGTACAATCTCTCCATAACGAGTTAAAAAAATTAATGCTATATGCAACTTTACAACCCAATAATTAACCCGTGAGATGAAGAAGAAGATACGATTAGTTAAGAAATATTAAGCACTTTATCTATAAGAAAACTGTTGAAAAGTTAATTTTTTTTCCAAGAGATAAGAAAATTACATATCTAAGAAAATTAACATGTATATATTAGCGCTCACATTGAAATTTTCCAAAATCATTCAACTTTAATTGCCATGCAGTTGATGCATTGTGACCTACTTTTTCATCAGTATGTTACAAGGCCCCAAATATGCACGAACTTACAAAATTTGATTAATCTAAACCTCTCAGTATCCAAAATAATGAACTAAAATGTTTTGAAAATGATTAGCCCTAAAGTTCAGAACTTCAGATCAAAGCAGGTCACGGTGACGTACTTTTTGGTTGACAGATTTCACAGCCCCATGATGCATCAACCGACAAGCCTTGATGATCATGGGCTTCAAAGTATCGAAGATATATGCATTAAAAATCAATATGAAAATAAATATCTACAAAATTCAAAAAATTAAGTCAATGTGACCTACCTTTGAGTCAACATAACATGAGGCCCTAAGCTGCATCATTTGACAAGATTTGATGATCATAGTCCTCATAGTGTGCAAAATAAAAGGTTTTAACAAAATATCATTTTTGAAGTGATCTTGAGACCACATGTACAACCTTTGCCCTAGGCTATTACCTTGAACAATTTTTAATCTACAATTAATTATCTTCATCCTTAATTATGTGTAAGTTTTGTGATACTCTGTTTAATGGTTTATGAAAAGAAGATTTTTTAGCAACCACTACTTTTTTTTAATTTCCCAAATTATTTTCCTTTGTTTAATTAAGGTCATATCCCTCTTATTAGTATAAGTAAATGAAAGCCCTTGACCAAAGGATACTCTGTGAAAAATTTGATAAAAATTGGACAAGGGGCTCTTGAGATAGGACCCACATTCCAAAAAAGTGTATGCACACAAGACCCTAACATTATTCAGCTCTTTCTGCTCATCAGAACTAAAAACGGATTCCTGGCACAATCAACTCAAAAACAGAACACAATGAGGCAAAGTCATACCGACCAGCTCAGATCGACAAATTTCTCAAATTCTCCATCAATACCACTGAACTTGAATCTTGATCAATTGTTCATTGCATCGCATGATGGTACACCGTCAGTGGAAATCTCGGACAATCATGTTTATGGCAAGCAGGACAAGGATAATTTAGACAAGACCCCAACAAAAATGCACTCACCAGAACCAGATCTAATACATACATCTTAAACGGCATCATCCTGATGAACGTTATCCTACCTGTTCCACAAGAAATGTCTTGCAAGAACATTACCACGAGTGATGATAAACTGTAATTCTATATGCATCCGATGTTTGAAAGATAAAAAATTGGTAATTTTTTAGTGATGTGTATGTAAATGTTCTCTAGTTCACGTAGTTTTTTGTGAGTTATGAATTGTATAAATCTATCAAAGTCCAATCAAGGCTGAATTTGTCAAGACAGTATGCAAATATTCATTGGTATTGGTATAAATAGCCAAGATTTGTTTTGTTTATTGATCGATATCATTAAATTGAAATACAATTATTGGCCCCTAACATTTAAAAGGGGAGGAATGTGATTTTCCGGATTCCTATACGGTCGTGCAAATTGGTTTAGTATGTTACACTTTATAATTCCGTAATAATTTGTAAACGCGTGTTCTGAATCTCAATTATCACACAATAAACGCTCTCAACGACACCTCCGAGTAATCGAACTGTGGCTAAAATTAGACACAAAACAAATGGTCAAATGGTGGTTGTCTCAAATAAAGTCAGCAAAAAAGAGTCTCCCATGTGTAAAATTCTTGAACCTTTAATAACAAATAAAAATAAATACCCCGCTGTGAGCCCTTTGTCTTAACCGGGTAAACAAAGTAATACATAGACAAAATAGGATGAAAATAATAGTTTAATAATTTGTATTAAAAAGTCAGTCAATATATATTCAAGATGTACAGGTATATGCAAATAAGGTCATTGTATCTATGAAAAAATGAGATAATTTGACATTGTTCACACCCTTGCATCAGTTTAAAAATTGATTTTACACAGAACATGCTTTTCTGTACTGAAATAACTGGGAGACATAGACACATTATGCAATTTATGATGGTTTATTGCTACACGTGAATGGGGGAATGAAAAAGGTATGAAATAATTTCAACTAATCCAATATATCTCTTTATACTCTTCATCTGAACTACGGATTCTTGTGTTTGACATACAAGCGGGGGATCATGATCATGGTTAATATTACTTAAATTCAATACTTAAGTTTTGACTTCAAACATACGTGCAAATACATATATTCATGAATTTGAAAACAGATAAAAGCATTGATTATAAATATTCTAGTAAAGCACATGTGAATACAACATTTATTTTTACCTATATTTTATCAATATATCACAGACATGTACACCTGTACCTAAGGACTTTGGCTTTCTGCGCAGTATAGAAATACAGTAGTACTGTTTTTAGCACTCACTTATGTAAATGTATATTCATGTAAATGTACTACAGATAAATTTAAAGACTCAGAAATACCTTTTAAAATTAGATTAAATACTAGTACGTAAAATTCAACACTATCCACTTTCTTCAAGTATTACGTGTACATGGAAAAGTGATTCACACGTTTTGTTAGCTGCGTGAAAATTATGACACCAAACAGTTAAAATGTCGTCGCAGATTTTATTGCACAGATACATGTATATGGTGACATTCTATCAAAACACAAGAAAAGGACTTGCAAGAGAAATATTCTTATAATAATTCATATTTATTAACTTCTACATATATTCTTACAAATTTTATATAAAAAACACAAAATTTATAAAATTCACAATACGAGCCATTTCTAATGGCACACTCCGGTATCTAAGCATAGTTTCAATATTAAATAAGGAGACGCAACAGCAAGGCTACATACCAAAGTGGTGATTTAAGTGACTCCCATTCACAACAAAAGTTTTGTGTATTTACGTAGTGCTTCTTATGCTTATAAGCAAAATAATAGTTCCTTACAGCTTTATCAAAACGATCCAATTTACTCTCGCAAACAGCTAACATTATATACAGAAGATATCCTGCTGCATCGGGAGATACTGAGAGAAAATCTGAAATTTCTCGTTTTTGAATTTTCAAATTATAGAGGTCATTCCTCTTTGCTAAGCATAACGCTTTTAGGAAAAGGGAATATTGACGTGGAGGTATGGATATAAATGATGACGTTTCTTTGATCATCAGGATTTCCAGTGCAATTTCTTTGGGTATGATTGGCATGACTTGAAATACTTCGAAATCGTATGAGACTGCCATTGAAGCTTTTTCAATTCTTGATAAAACTCCGTTACAGAAATTGTACTTGTACCCTCTGTCTACTTTGTTTGGGTACCTTGAACTTATGTACAATACTCCAGCATTGTCGCGGATAGTACTCTCATATTTCCTTATTATTTTAAGAGCTTGTGAATATTTACCCATGCAGTAGAAAGCTGTTGCCAAAGTCAATCTCCCTCTACTAATGTCAGCATTGCTGGTGAAATCTAGCAGTCCAAGTGATCTTCGGATATGGCGATATCGAAACCGTGTACAACTACTTATTTGAGTCATTCCTCTGTGCAATAGGAACAATGCAATATGTTGGAGAAGCTTTCGTTGGAATAGTGTTATTGTGTCAATTTTCAATCGATCGGGACCTGCTTTAACAAGAGCATCTACTGAATTAAAGAATTCCGATTCTAATGATGTAAGATTTGGAAACGAATTTACATATGACTCTATTTCACAAAAAAATGCCTGATCTTCAGCATCTTCGCAATGCATATTGGATTCATTCTTGAATTTCAGAGAGATGCCTTTATATTCTTCTTCGGGGTTCAAACAACAATTTGGCATCTGCAGAATTTTTAATCTTGTTTCCTGGAGTGCATCATTAAGGTGACGCATTGATCGGCACATCAATAAGCATCTCCAGCCTTTAACATACATTTCCGATAAATGATTGATAAGAGACTCACGTTCATTTTCACCTAAGCGACCATAAAACATATTGTTTTCTCTCACAAAGTAATTTGGGCAAAAGCCGTTGGAAACCCAGGATATCAACTTTCGAAAACACACCTCGATACAAGACACTAATCGGCGAGGTTGCCAAAGATGTCTTGGCGTTTCTTCAATGCTCCAGAAGACCAATGTTTTCATGAAATACGAGCATAAGTCGTCATGATGAAAATTTGGGAAAGCCTCTTTTAAAAGAAGCTTAAATATTCCGTACACATGAAACTGCGTATCATTAAAAGAATACACTAAATGTTTTTCTGCCACAGAAAAAGACAATCGCCAAACAAGTGGATCTACTGTCCAGTTCCCATAAATGTCGATATATTTAGACCCAATAGGCATCACATGACAACCACTTTTGTGTATCGCCTGCACAAGACTTTGAT